CTCTCCTCCAGGGTCCTGGCACAAAGCAGCTTCAAGGCACTGTCCGAGTTCCGGACTTTAAGAAGAGCCCAAATGTCACCAACAAGTTTTTCAAGTTTTGCTGCTAAGTAGCTCAGCATGAAACAGTATTCAAGGCAAAAGTCTGTTTTAATTAAGCTGTGAACACGTTGCTCGCTATGGAGATAAGGTTCTGACTGCTCTGGCCAGAGGGAACGACATCAAGGTCAGGGGCTTCTGCTTCCTCGAGTAAGATAAAGCTCCAGGGCAGGGGGAAGGGAAAATAAAAAGGCACACAAAGCAGCCAGCCCCTCCGCTGCTGTTCTATCTTCTGCTTCTTTCTGAGGGTGTAATGCCAGCTTCAGTGAGCCCTACTGCAACTTTGACCCTTTTCTAGTTCCAGAGACAGTCCACAAGTAAATTGCGAGAGGTTTCTCTCCAGCTGAAACACCCTCGCCCCAGATCAACAGAGGAAATACTCAAGCTAACTACAGCCCTTGAGCAAGAATAAAAAGCAAACCTTCACTGCACCCCCCCACCAAGGAAAACCTAAAATAATTATATTTTAATCTGCTAGCACTCTTGTAAGTTCCTATCCCTTGGCCGAAGGGCCTCGGGAGCATTTTCCAGCTGCTCAAATTCAAACTGCAGAACAGGACAAACGTGTGACCTCTCCAGCAGGCTGCTTCCCATGAGCTGATCCCTCTAAAAGGATCCATTCCATCAAGGTGCCTAAATCGTCACCAGTATTTTACCTGCAGGTCTGTGCTGACCTTCCCAAGGAACCTGTGCTGTGCTTCTCTCCCCGCCACTTTCCAGGTTACTGCTAAAATAACTAAACTCCGACCTAGTTCCTTTGAAAAGGCAAAGAAAAAAAAACAAAAACCCCTCTTGCCCTCACTAGGCAGGACCCATCTGCCTGGCCCCGCACGGCTGCCAGGAGCTCGATACGGAGGAATCAGCAGCAAGAGCCTTCGCTCCAAGAACGTGCCAAGAGGGAGCCCTTGCCGGGCTCCTCGGGCAGCCCGGTACGGACGGGGCGCTGGGAAACCACGAGAGGAGAAGGGCTGAGGGGCCCTGGCACAAGGGAGCAGCCCCAGGAGCCCCAGACAGAAAAGTGCAGGGTGGGTGACCAAAACGAAAACAAGCTAGTTGTGTCCGTGTGACCAAGTGATAAATGAAGGTGTTCCTTAAATAATAAAAGCCTCTCTCCTAGAAAGTAAGGCAACAAATACCCACAAAACCTTAAAATGCTGCAACTAAAAGTACCTGAAGAATTCAAGGTCAGACAACGGGGAGTGTGAAGACTCGTACCCCAGCCTTGGCAAGGTCTTGGCTAGCTGGCAGGAAAAGCCGGGTCTGGAGCACGAGCAGGAGCCCAGGGCTGCGGTGATGGGACCGGCAGGGCCTCGCTGCCGGGGGCCTCCGGGCTGCAGCGGGCTCAGGCCGTCCCGCCTCTATCGTCTGTTCTGGGAATATGTTTGTTTCTCCGTTGGAAGAAACCACGAGGAAAGGGATCGGGCAGCAGATGAGAAGTGCTGCGGGGCGAAGGAGTCCCTGGTGAAAGGTGTCTGAAGACACGCTGCAGCTGCAAGTGACTCTT